GCTCCTGGCAGACCTCCAGGGGGCGCTTGGAGGCGCCTCTGCCGAACACCTCCACGCTGCCGGGCAGCCAGGCCACCACGTTCCCGGCCAGGTAGGCGCTGCAGTTGGCCATGGAGCGGATCTCGGCCGGCTTCAGGACGCGGTCCCAGATGTTCACCTGGCTCAGCTCCCCCACGAAGGCCTGGCCCGCGTCGAACCGGCCGCCTACCACGTCCTGCGAGGGACAAACACAGCGGCGGCTAGCAGCTAGCTGGTGAACGAGAGAGCTGGGCAGAATGGGACGCTCTGATTGGCCTGATATTAAGGTCATCATTACTGGGATGATCACACAGAATGGGAAAGCTGCCGCCTTCCTCCATCACAGTGAACTGGAACCAGACTGGTTGGGTTTCCAGGCAGGATCAGTGCTTCTCTTTAAGATCTCTAATACTAAACTCAAACAATAGCCTAGTCAAAGTAAAAATGCAGGTACTGCACTTAGATCCAGCAACAGCAGTAAATGTAACTAGTGTTGAAAATAAGAATGTTAAATTAGCACAATAGCACACAGGCTAACCTTCACGTTAAGACAAACTTAGATAAAGATCCAAACTAAAACAACTGATCATTCTGAACTTATATAAATCCTATAGGGAGGATTGTACAGAAAGACAGACCTGGACTCTTTAACTGATCTATAGACATGGAGTCTGTCTGCCAGGCAGTTAACAAAGTGTGGTTCAAAAGTTCACTAGGATCTTAAAACTTTTTATAAATAATTTTATCCATACTAAAATTAAATATATTTCTTTAAGCATGTCTTGAATTAGTTTTAGATCCAAACTTTTAGTTAATATTTAGCATTAGATTTTGTTTCAGAAAAACACGTTCTAGTTCAATCACTGAGGCAGAGAACGCTGCAGCTGCCTGGGCTCTAAGAGTCTGGTACGAGAAGATCCGGGTGTTTTTAGCAGGACCCACAGGTAATAACATTAACATTACGACAGCCCCCACTGAGGAAAACACACCTCCTAATGCATATATTTACATTTAGAGAAAGGCACAGGCTTATAAAAGTTTTCGTTTGCAACAGAGAATTCGAATTGCTTTCTGCCCGAGTTCACGATTCCCGGAAAATGCTTTTTCTGTAATTGCTTTCTTTTAACTCATGCAATTATTTCTGTTTTGTCACGTCTTGGACTTTTGGATTTCTGGGTGAGATGCTCATTGTGACATTCTGTTTGCATTTGAATTCTCTGGATAAACTCTAGATATCTGCAGTCTGATGTGGTATGGTTGCTCTTTCTCACTGCGCATGTTGAGGCTCAAGAATCCGGGATGAGAGGAGAATTAACGAGTAAAATCAAGATCTCTTCTCATTTATTCTTAACACTAGTTACTCCCCCCTGGTTCTGGTCAGTCTGAGGCAGGTCTTTGTGTTTGTCTGGGTCGGTGGTGGTTCTTGTTCTGGTATCTCCTGGAGGCCGTTTTCTCTCTGAATCATGACCTCTGACCTTAGCTGTGACCAGCAGAGCTCCAGATGTTCTGGTTCACCAAGGTGAATCATTGGTTCTGGTTCTGAGTCGTGTTAGCACTAGCTATTAGAACCTGGCTGTTATTAGCCAGGTTCTGTTAGAGTTCATGACCTTGAGCTCCGGGTTTGACCCCGGCTGGTTTCCGTTCTGTCTAAACTGAAAAGCTTTAAAGAGGCTCAGCAGCCTGGAGTCGCAGCGGGTTCCTCCTGGGCTGCACAAAATACCGAGAGGTTCCCGCACAAAGCCCTGACCCTGTGACCTCTGACCTGAGGCGCCCTGACCCTGAGACCTCCTGCTACCTGCTCCTGCCCCAGGATGATGACTCCTCCAGGCTTGATGGGGTGCCAGGCTGCCAGGTTGTCTCCGGCGCCCAGCTTGTCTCCGTCCTGGTAGGCGTCCCACTGGCCGTCCCGGGTCGTCCAGCAGATGCAGATGTGGTGCCACTTCCCGTCCCGGACCTCCAGCGGCAGCTGGGCCACCTGCAGCACGACCACGTGTCCCGTTATACGTTATAGCAGCCATTCACGTTAGCGACCCGTTAGCATCAGCGGCCTCTATGGCGGCCTGATTGGCCCCAGCAGAGGCCGCTGCAGACGTACACTTGCCTTGTCGTTGATGAGCAGCTCGATGGGGTTGTTGCCCCACTCGATCAGCACGATCTCGTTGGCTTGGCCTGGAACGCCGTAGGAGAAAGGCGTTCCCACACCAGGGCTGGCGCTGGACTTGATCCACATGCAGAGCGTGAAGGCGTACATCTCCGGCAGGGACTTGGTGATGCGGCCGTACAGGTAGTTGGTCCTCTGGGGGAGGGACAGCTTGAACTGCTCAGGGGACTTAAAGTCTCCGGCCCCTGGTAGGACAGACGGCAGCAGGGTTAGAGCCTAAAGCGTCCAATGAGACCTTCTGCTCTCACGTTCACTCTGAGCTCAGCTGGACTTGAATTTGCAAAAATTCTAATCAAAGTTTTTTATTCTCTTCCAATTTATTCTCAACAAGCAATGCTGTGCAGCTGAGCAGGAACTGAAGATACTGAAGAGGGACAATCTAGAGTTATAGCTCTAGAGTCAGAAGCCAGCAATCTGGGAGCCGGGATCTCTGAGTGCAAGGCGCCTGCAGGCCGCCGTACCTTTCTCCAGCTCGCTGATCCTCTCCACCAGCGCGTTCAGCGTGCTCTCGGTCTTCAGCCGGTAGGCGGCCGTGGCGTTGGACAGCTGGCTCTTCTCCTCCTCCAGGCTGCTGACCTTCTTCAGCAGCTGCTTCTCCAGCTCTCCCAGGCGGCGCTGCAGCAGCTCCCGCAGCTCGCTGGGGAACGAGGCCCCCGACAAGTTGGCCCTCATCTGCTGCTGCTGCAGATCAAACAGGAAGTGCAGCATTACAGAGCAGGAGACTTCCTGTGGAGCCTTACATCACCAACCAGGAGCCAGGGAAAGTAGTTCAGTTCAGGTTTAATGAAGTAGTTCAGTTCAGGTGAAGTGTTCCGGTTCTGGTCTATAACGCCTTTCGGAACCATCTGGTTCTGACTCAGTCGTGCTTCTGATACTAAAAATATCTATTCTGTAATTCATTATTGCTGATTAGTCAAATTACACAAACGGATTTAACTCCTGATTCTCAGAAAGAGAAGCTCGGTTTTACGCATGCGCTCCAGCTCACCTCCAGGTTCTCCAGCCGCTCCTTGAGCCCCTGCATGGTTTTCCCGAGGCTGTCGATGGAGTCGTTGGGGTCCGTGGGAACGTCACCCATCGTGTTCTGCTTGTCCTTCCCCCACGCGGCCCCCTTGCCCGACTTCCGGTCGCTGGCGGCCGAGGCGCAGAGGGACAGCTTGGTGGTCAGCTCGTTGATGGTGCCCAGCTGCTTGGAGATGGTGTCCTTCTGCTGGACGATGGTCTCCCGAAGCTGCATGACGGTGTTCCGCAGCTCCTCCTCCTGGCCGCCGGCGCTCAGCTCCGGCAGTAAAGTCACCGGGCAGCCGGCGTCGCCGCTGACGGCCACTGCGCGGCAGATGTACCGCTTCCCATCATCCGGCTGAGCGCAGATTAGCGCGCAGAAGCTGAGAAACCCGCACCAGAGAGACAACATCCTGGACAGAAGCGTCCTGCAGGGACAGAACTCCCAACCCTGACCCAACAAACTCCGCAGCTTGTCTGCGTAAAAGCCGCTCCGCGGGGGTTCTTCCGGCGGCTCCTCAGCGCAGCGCCGTGGAGCAGCGGCCGGGAATCCGATCAAGTGTCAGGCTGCCGCTGAGAGCCGCTGGTGCTATTTCTGGCGCAGAGAGCGCGCACAGCGTGGCGCTGGACACACAGCTCGGAGCGCCAAAGCGGATTACCCACAAGGTGTCTGTGAAAACGCGCTGATTGGGCGGAGGCGGCTGACGTCACGGGCCAGATAAAACTACAGTCCAGAGTTCATGAGTGAAGAGGCAACAGGCGATCCACTTCCGGTCCAGGGGGTCCGGTTACCATGACAACACGGAGAGAAAATCATAAAACTCGGAGATGAAGCTTGAAAACTCAGCAGGGGCGTCCCCCGAGTTACAGCTGCCCTGGGCAGGCCCCCGCATGGGGCCCCCACAAAATCACACCGATCAGTCCAAAAGGTGGCGCTGTAGGCGACAGCAGGCCCATTTCACAGGCTGCTGCTTCCTGGACAATATAAGTTAGTGATGATGATTCCTGCTTGATGAACACATGAACACATGAACACATGAACACATGAACACATAAAAGCATTACGTCACACATTTAAAACAGAATTATTGTTTGAATGAGCAGCTGTAAGGTCCCAAAGCTTCTTTAGATCTGAGCCCAGCAGAACCTCAGCTCTGTCTGGCGGTGACCCGCATCGTGTGCCGCCCTGGGCAGAGAGCCTGCTGCTGTCACAGAATGCTGCCAGCATTACAAACACACAAATCCTGATTAAAGTCAGAACCAGAACCAACTTCCCATCAGGAGCCACATGTTGAATGGAGGCAGCAGTGAAGAACCGGCATGTGGTTCTGATCCGATAGGCCCGGTTCGCTGTGAGCAGCGCTTCCACCTGAGGCGTCCAGGTAACGTCAGACTGATGACATCAGCACTCCAAGCGTTGAGAATCCCGTTAAGCTGCGACGATCAATGCCGTAGCTACAAGGATCTGGACCCGATCGGAACCAACCCTCAGGTTTGATTACAGCTGAAGGTTCAGACTCCTGCTCAGGTGATGGAGGTCGTTACCGGGGAAACAACTCCAGGTGAGTCGTCTCTGAATCAGCAGGTGAATCATTTCAAGTTTCTTCTTTTCACACAAACTTGTAAATATTCATGGGATTTAAGGTGACAGGTCTCCAGACAGCAGGTGAGAAACAATGACTGGATCTGAAAGGTGCGGCGTGCTTGTTAGTGAACCATCAGCTGCAGAGTTCCACCAGATTTAAGCTCCAGATTATGAAGCGGCGGAGTGCGGATTTCATCAACATCCATTTTCACATCTTCCACGAAATTCTCAACTGGATTCAGGATTGCACTTCAACTAGGCCATTTTAACCCAGAAATGTTTTCTCTCTTTTTCAACATGTTTGGATTTTTTATGTTTAATTTGTATTTTAATGTTGTAGGTTTTATTCTGGTTGAACTTTGAGATTTCTCTAAATGTAAAGTGGATTAGAAGGAAAAATGATCTGTTTTGATCTCAATCCCCAAGCATCTCCACAGCATGCTGCTGCCACCACCGTGTTTCCCAGTGCTGGTTGTTCTCTGAGGGACTTCTGAGGCCAGAACCAGAATATCTGGACTCTGGTTCTGTTCAGAATGAACATGTCAGACTGTCCTGTTCAGGAAGCAATCATCAACACCTTCAACTGGACACCGCGCCGCCCGGATGCATGACATCACACCTACTTCCTGTTAACTGAGCCACGCAGTTCCTGGAATACCAGAAAACTGCAGCCTGCCTGCAGGACGAGCAGCAGGCGGTGAGAGCATGCATCTCTGCCGGGTTGTATCAAACACAAACGTCCTCTTCATCTGCAGAAAGCTGAGTGGATGAATGGATGACGGGCAGCGTTGATGATTCAGAGCCGGTCTGACGGAGAGGATGCTCAGGTTTCATCACTAATGCAGCGGCCAGATGAGAAGACTCAGCGTGTCGTAACGCCCCCGCCGCTGCCCAGTAAAACACGAAATAGATCCACTGATGAAACGAGCAGGACAGCGCAATAAAGCAGAGACAAACAACTCTTAGCAGATCATTATTACTTAGGGGAGAAAGCGGCTTTATGTGTCGAATGATCTCCTCCACGATGTGACGCTCAGTGAGGAAGACGAACAGAAACCCATTGGCTGCTGGGAGGAGACGACGAATAACTTTCAGCTCAAGAGCAAAGAAACACAGAGCTGGGGACGAGAAACTACAGGAGGAAACCAGAGGAAACAGGAAACTACAGGAAAAACACAGAAAACTACAGGGGAAAACACAGAAAACTACAGGAAAAACACAGAAAACTACAGGAAAAACAGGAAACTACAGGAAAAACACAGAAAACTACAGGAAAAACACAGAAAACTACAGGAAAAACAGGAAACTACAGGAAAAACACAGAAAACTACAGGAAAAACACAGAAAACTACAGGAAAAACAGGAAACTACAGGAAAAACACAGAAAACTACAGGAAAAACACAGAAAACTACAGGGAAAACAGAAAACTACAGGGAAAACAGGAAACTACAGGAAAAACACAGAAAACTACAGGGAAAACACAGAAAACTACAGGAAAAACAGGAAACTACAGGAAAAACACAGAAAACTACAGGAAAAACAGGAAACTACAGGAAAAACAGAAAACTACAGGAAAAACACAGAAAACTACAGGAAAAACAGGAAACTACAGGAAAAACACAGAAAACTACAGGAAAAACACAGAAAACTACAGGAAAAACAGGAAACTACAGGAAAAACACAGAAAACTACAGGGAAAAACACAGAAAACTACAGGAAAAACACAGAAAACTACAGGAAAAACAGGAAATAACTTATCCAGAAACCCTGACGGGACTCCCGCAGTTTAAAGGTATTTCTGTGAAATATTGGGGGGAAATTGTTATTATTCTGACATTTGTAAATAGTAGTAATTTTGACAAGCTGAGCTAAACCGGAAAATGATGGATCCATGATGACCAGACCCACCAACGGGGATTTCTTTTGACCGTCCTGAGAGATTTCTGAATTTCTCCAGCTTTTAATTTGTCTCTCCAAACAATAATTGTTCTTCCAGTCAACTGACATTTACTGAAATGATGAACATACTTTTTTTTCCCTTTTTCATTAGGAAAGGGTTAGGGTTTCAGAAAGAAAAAGGAAATGAAAGAAAAGTAGCACAAATATTCCGTCGTTGGAGCCTTAATTCATTTTCTGAATTTCATCCACCACGGAACACTGCCACCTACTGGTAGAACACTTAATTCTGTGCGATTACAGATTACAGATTTGATTAACATTATAAATGTATAAACCACAATAATGTGCACTAGCTGGTTGATAAATATGGCAATAAAAATCCAAATTCTATTTACAAATGTTTTAAAATATGCCGTTTATCTCTTTAGCAGCCTTTTTTGACGCTGATTTCCTGAGAGCAGGAGACCATCGAAAACGATGGTCTTATATCGTTTGTTCTGAGTTCTTATCCTTCCGCTGGTACTATTGTAAACAATTCTGACCAATAAAATATGTTGCGCACAGCCAAATGTTAAGCATGTTCTCTTTATACATACATCATTTGTAGACATACATTACTGGTCTGTAAATGTAGCTGAATATTGAGGCTGTAGGAACCAACGCGCGGAGGGATATCTGACAGGTTCGCTGGGAGCAGGAGCGCGAACGGCGGGGAGAAAGCGACTGTTTCCTGTCGGCGGAGCAGGGTGAGCGCTGCTTTGTCATTTAAACTTTGAACTCATTTCAACATTAGAATTTAGCTGCTTTCGTGCGAGTTTTCTCTGCATTGTGATATTCTTATGAAAAACTTAGAACTGTCCTTTGTGTGACTTGGTGTTCTTTGAAGTACCTTGATGTTGACACGCGAGCGCTTTCTTTCTTTCTTTATGAAGCTAGCTGCTCTGCTAACGGTTAGCTTGTTTTCCAGCAGGAATAGCAACCCTAAAATCTCTCGCTTGGATTAATCGATAAAGACTTCACATAAGTAGAGCTGGAAATATTTTTATTATGCATTCAAATAGTTTTAAACGCTTTAATTTTGATCAGAGTTCACATCACTCGAGCTCGGCGATGCTAGTGATGACGTCATCATCAAGCGCCGTTTAAACGGCGTGTTTTTCTGTTGCTAAATGTCAACATGATCTCTAGTTTGTGTCTAGAAATCACAAACTAGTGATCCTATTTGAAACAATCAGGACTGTTTTCAGGTCTGGGCAGAAAAATGACCAGTAAAAGTCTAGAAAAAGAAGCAGCAGATCTGCTATGCTGTTCTAGATTCATATTCTGCTTCAACTAGTGGATGGATTAGGGTTACCAACAACCTGGGCCTTTAGATAACTTGTTTGGTGACAGTTTCTTCATTGAAACTGTTCCTTAACATTTCTTTATTTGAACCTAAACAAACTACCAAAGGCATCAAACAGATTCTGCTAACTCCTGTTGAGATGCCAGGCTTGATCACATGGTGAAAGATCTGTTTTGCTCTTTATTGTAACCTGGATCAGCCACAGCTCGGTTAGAAAACAAACTTTGTAGTTTTCAGGGAAGCAGAATGTGGCTGCTAAATGACCAAACACTGAAACTAACCCCAGTTGATTAACCTTTCCCTTCCCTTGGGGTGGGAGTCTGTCCGGACAACATATCTTCACTTTGTGATCGACTCATGATGACATATTTCCCTGCAGTAGATGATCTGAACAATCAGCCTCAACTATCAGACTGTTTCCTCACTGGATGATCTTCCTCCACATGCCAACATGTTCCTGTTGTTGAAGCCGATCCCGTGCAACATTCTGCTGCGTTTATGGATAACGATAGAAGACTTCTGCAGATCCTAGATCCATTTATAGTTCTGTTTCTTTGTCTTCTGCAGTTCAGTTGAGACCGGTGCTGCTCGGTCAGCTCCAGCCGTCACCATGGCGTTCGTCCCCACGCCCAGCCCCACCGTGGTGGACCAGACCACGCTCATGAAGAAGTACCTGCAGTTTGTGGCGGCACTCACAGACACCAACACCCGTGAGTTCACCGGCCTGACTCTCTCTGTTCAA